TTGAAGGAAAACGTCACCAGGTGAAAATCTGAAATATGCAATCAAGAGCTCCAGATATGGTAAATGTAACTAACTCTTAGTGCATGACAGAAATAGCCCAAAGGCCAAAAGATGGGGAAGTGTGTACTGTTGCAAAGATCTTATACTACATGTTAAGTGATATATGAAAGTATGCCAAGTGTAAAGATGTATACTAGAATGCTGGGCACAGTGGCTCAAGCCCGTAATCCAGCACTTTGGGAGGAGGAGGAGGCAAGAGAATTGCCTGAGCTCAGGGGTTCAAGACCAGCCTGAGCAACATGGCAAATCCTCGTCTCTACAATAAATAAAAAATTAGCTGGGCATGGTGGCATATGCCTGTGGTTCCAGCTACTTGGAGGGCTGAAGGATCACCTGAGCCCAGTAGGTTTAGGCTGCAGTGGCTGTGAGTGTGCCACTGCACTCCAGCCTGGGCAACAGAGTGAGACTCCAACTCAAAAAAAAAAAAAGATGTATACTAGAAAAAAAATTTTTTTAGTCAGGGTCTTACTTTGTCACCCAGGCTGGAGTGCAGTGGTATGATCACGGCTCATTGCAGCCTCAACCTCCTGGGCTTAGGTGATTTTTCTGTCTCATCCTCCTGAGTAGCTGGGGCCACAGGTGCACACCACCTTGCCTGGCTAATTTTTTTTTTTTGAGATGAGGCCTCACTATATTGCCCAGGCTGGTCTCAATCTCCTGGGCTCTAGTAATCCTCCCACCTCGGCCTCTCAAAGTGCTGGGATTACAGGTATGAGCCACTGCACACAGCCTATAAGATAAATTTTAAAAGTAACAACTAAAAATGAAAATGTGGAGTGTTAATAAACCAACAGGTTGGGCTCAGTGGCTTAGCCTGTAATCTCAGCGCTTTGGGAGGCAGAGGTGAGTGGATTGCCTGAGCCTGCGGGTTCGAGACCCGCCTGGGCAACTCAATGAGACCTCATCTCTACAATATATCAAAAAAATCAAAAAATTAGCCAGGCATGGTAGCGTGCACCTGTACTTCCGGCTACTTGGAAGGCTGAGGTGGAAGGATCGCTGGAGCCCACCAGGTGGAGGCTGCAGCGGTCGAGAGAGTGCAACTGCACTCCAGTCTGGGCGACAGAGTGAGACTTCAACTCAAAAAAAAATTTTTTTTCAATAAATAAAAAATAAACCAACAAAAAAACCAAAATAAAAAATTAACTAGCTCCACGTGAGTATGGCCATCAGATGTTTGACAAAAGTGCAAAAGTAATTCAATGTGAGAATGTCTTCAAATAGTGCTGGAGCAATTGGATACCTACAGGCAAAAAAAAAAGGTATTTTGATTTAAACCTAACACTTTATACAGAAATTAATTGGAAAATGAATTGTAGATTTAAATGTAAAGTATAAAACCATAAAACCTGTAGAAGACAACATATGAAAAAATCTTTGGGCTTGGTGAAGAGTTCTTAGACACAACACCAAAAACATGATTCACCAAAAAACAATAGTCTGGGCTTCATCAAAATTAAAATCTGTTTCTCTGTAAAAGACCTGTGTACAGGATGAAAAGATAAGCTATGGATGGGGAGAAAATATTTGCAAAACTTGTGTGACAAAACCCTTATATCTGAAATATGTAATTAAATCTCAAAACTCAACAGTAAGAAGACAGACAATTCGAAAATGAGCAAAAGACACAGATATTTCACTGAGGATCTGCAGATAACAAATGAGTACATGAAGAGATGTTCAACATCTTTAGCCATTAGGGAAATGCAAATTAAAACCACGAGAAGTTGCTCTCTGCATACCTGTCAAAATGGCCAAAATAAAAAAGTGACACAAAGTTGGGCGCATGACTCATGCCTATAATCCCACACTTTGGAAGGCAGAGGCGAGAAGATTGCCTGAGTCCAGGGGTTTGAGACCAGCCTGGGCAACATGGTGAGACCTCGTCTCTACGATATATAAAAAAATTAGCTGGGCGTGGTGGCATGTGCCTGTGATTCTACCTTCTTGGAAGGCTCAGCTGGAAGGATCACCTGAGCCCAGCCAGCCGAGTCTGTGGTGGCTGTGAGTATGCCACTGCACTCTAGCCTGGGTAACAGAGTGAGATTCCTATTAAAAAAAAAAAAGACACCAGCAAATGCTGGTCAAAATGTGGAGACATGAACCACTCATACATTACTCATCCATGTAAAATGGTCCAGGCACGCTAAGAAAGTCTGGCAGCTTCCTACAAACTAAATATGCAACTGCCATATGACCCAGCAATGGCACTCTTGAACATTTGTCCCAGAGAAACAAGTTTATGTTTACACAAAAACCTGTATAATAGTCCCTCCTTATATCTGGTTTCACTCTCCACAGGCTGTTACCCATGAAAATTGGTGATACAGTACAGGAAGGTATTTTGAGAGACCACACTCATATAACTTCTATTACAGTATATTACTGTTCTGTTATTGTTGTTACTATTTTCCTGTGCCTAATTTATAAATTAAACCATAGGTATATATAGGAAAAAGCACAGTGTATGTGGTTCGGTCCTATCCATGGTTTCAGGCACCCAGTGGGAGGAGGGGGTCTTGGATCATGGATAAGGGGGGACAACTGTGTTCAGAACAGCTTTATTTGCTAACACCTCAAACTAGAAAACAACCAAAATATTCTTCAAGGTGAAATGGTTAAACTCTGGTACATTCATGCCATAGAGTACTATGTAGCAATAAAAAGGAATAAACTATTAATACATGCAACTACTTGGATGGATCTCAAGGGAATTATATTGAGTGGAAAAGGCTAATCTTAAATGGTTACATTATATATATAATATTCTTGAAATAACAAAATTATAGAGATGGA